AATGATAAGTAAAATCATAAAAGACTGAGGTTTTGTTTGTTGAATCCAGTTTATGCATTTTGTACAGTTGGCTGTATCGCATAGATCTCGATAACGGTAAGGCAAACTCATCACACGAAGATGAAGCGGCGAGCCGTGATCATTATCGCTATTTTGCGATTGACAATATATGACGGTAGTCTTAGCCTTATTGCTATAAGTTAAGAAAGTAGACAGTAGAGGAGGGCAACAAGGAAAGGGACAGCGTGCTAAACATGGAGGACCTTGCAGGCTACATGGTGGCGACGAAATGATGGGCGACACAACTGCCATCGAACTGATTGAGAGATGGATGGATTCTCTCTACCGACTACTCTGCGGATACGCTGATGGATGGACTGAGGGGATGAACGAAGCATTCGGTTGAAACGGTAAGAGCAAACAAGGTCTTAATTACATTCTCATTTACACCTTCGAATTCGCAAGCCCTCTCAAGCAAGGCTAGCGGACCGATCACCCTTCTGCAAGCCACAAGTGTGTTGAAACCTGAAGCAAAAGCTCGTGATTTTTATATAGTTACAAGCGACAGATACAAATGTTAGAAAATACTTCCATGACAGTTTAAATAGGTTCTGAAGGTCAAGTGAAAGACCTAGTACAGGTAAGTCCGACCTCACCTGATTGGATGATAGTGTGTCAGAATGACAGGTTGTACGGGAGAGACGGAGACCATATGCAACTTGACATGGTCAAGTTAGCGTATTTCCGTTTCTGGGCATACGTATCGTAGTGCTAAACGAAGTAGTTCTTAATATATTTCACTTTTACTTCTAAATACCTTTGCGAAGTGCAACAACTACACTAACAACAAAAGTCACTGCTGTACAACTATTGACACTTTCCGTCGCTTTGCACTGCTGCCATTGATACGTACGTCCCCTGTTGACGATAGTGTCACGACTCTTTATTACGTTTGGTCTCTTGCACGAACTGCGACACGTGTGCACTAGGTTGACACTATCATGAGCGTGAGCGTTCATCCTACTCAAAGACAAGCGAAGATCCATCAAACTTTGTGTCGCGACCTCGAGACCGCAGATATCCGCGTGACTGTGTTCTCAATACGGTATCGGTACTTTCACGCACTGTTCCACACCGGGGTAATTTGGCAGCTCCAAATTGAACTCTTTCGCCAATGACCTGCGAGGGACACACATTCAACTTTGCTGTAAGACTGTAACGCCAGATGCAATAACACATTGTACTTACTTTGGCACGAACCGTCCGCCAACGTAGTGTGTTTTGCCAGGCCCCGTGAAGTACTTAGCGCAGGTCTTCGGTGCTGTCAGGGATATCAGCATCTGTGGCTCCAGGCCAACTCCGTCTTCGTTTCCTGTCAATACAGACACGCGTTTGCAATCGGCAAGCGAACACACCTGACACAGAGAAGAAGAGCGCACCATTCTCGACATGCCATCCGGATGGAATATCAATCGAGACGATCGGTGATCGGCACTCTCGAAGCGTCTCGACGACGCGGTCAAACGGGGAACGGATGCTTCCAGTAAATCCGAAGCCAAAGATTCCATCCAAAATCAAGTCGTACGCTGCATCCACAGCCGAGCTATAAACAAAAGCGACCATCGTTGTGTTCGTTTACTGGGCTGCATGATTGGATGAGCAAACACCGCGTGAACGTACGAGTTCGGCATATCGTCAACGAACGGAATCTCCAGCTGCTCGCACTGAGTCACCAATCCCTACAGCAACACCAGCACCACTTCGCTCAGATTTTACCACGCTCTTGCGACTGCACTTTGCACTCGCGATCACTGCCTCACCTGAAAAAGGGGCTTTGCATTGCGCTTGGGGTACAAAATGCTCGGCGAGTAGCCGAAATGCTGCACTTGTTTCAAAAAAGCACGTGAACGAGCATAGCTTAGCCACACAAGCGCCGCCGACCAACGAAAACTCAGCACAGCATGTACAGTGTCGTGTACCACCAAGTGACGAGCTGCAACCAACGCGTCGCCTCTGCCATCAAGATTGCACCACAGACAGTACAAAGACGTCGTCAGGTGCATTTCCTTTGTCCTTATTGCTGTAAGTGCGGGACAAACCACGAAACGTCTCGTGCGTGCGTGTGTGTGTGTTCTCTCTCTAGACGCACCCGTTGTTTCCTGCTCCCACGACGACCAGCACTCTCTTGACTGCTTCGTCTGTTCTCGATGAGGTCGTATCAACCGGAAACTGCTGCCCAATGGCTGCAGCGACACTCAGTCCGGCCAACTCCATCAACTGGTCGATAGAAAAGCCATATCTGCTGCTCATTAGTTGCTCATCCAACCGCTGTGCTGCACGCTGTCCTAAATACTGTCCGTACAGAACGTCCACAAGTCGTTGCCACGTCACAGGAAAACAGTCACGAGTCCAGCGCAGCATCAGCATCAGCTACAAGAGCCGCTCGAAGTAAAAGCGAAACGACTGTCAATAAATTCATATCGCAATAAATAACTCCGTCCTTACGCGAGTCATTTCTCTGCGTCTGTTAGCGTTTGTGTGTATCGATAATTTTTTCCCAACTGTTTTCTTTCATTCGATTGACAAATTGACAAACGAAAAATAGCGTTTTGCACGTCACTCTTCGCAAAGAGTGACACTCCGGGCAGACGCGAGTGTGTCACTCTTTGCAAAGAGTGACACCTCCCGCCAGCACGTACGCTGGTCGAGCGCCCGACCCCCTCTTCTTGTCTTGGATTTCGTCCCTCCCGTATCCTGAGCTCCGTGAGAGACCGGCGACGCCGCGCACACGATGTTCCGCAATCAGTACGACACGGACGTGACCGTGTGGAGTCCGCAGGGCCACCTGCACCAGATCGACTACGCCATGGAGGCCGTGAAGCAAGGCAGCGTGTGCCTCGGCCTGACGTCCAACAGAGTGGCGGTGCTCTGCGGGCTCAAGCGCCAGACGCTCGAGCTGGCGGAGCACCAGAATAAGGTCTTCAAGATCGACGACCACATGGGCATCGCCATCTCGGGGCTCACGGCCGACGCGCGCACTCTCGCGCGCTTCATGCGCACGGAAAGCCTCAACCACAAGTTTGTCTACGGCAGTGCCATTACGGTCGGCCGCCTGGTCTCGGACGTGGCCGACAAGAAACAGGAGTGCACGCAGTCGTACATTCGCCGTCCGTACGGCGTGGGACTGCTCGTGGCAGGTGTCGACGTACGTGAATGCTGGCAACTGAGAGGTGTACGATGGGGAGATCTATACTCACTCTCTGTCGGATCCGTCGGCTGCGTATGTATGTGTGTTGTTGCTATTGTTGCTGCTGTTGTTCTTTTGTACTACAGAAAAAGGGGGTGCACTTGTATCAGACGTGTCCATCGGGCAATTACTACGAGTACAGGGGCATTGCCATTGGTGCGCGGTCGCAGTCGGCGCGCACGTACTTGGAAAAGCACTTTGAGAGCTTTCCCAATCGTAAGTGGGTAGTAGTTGAGGAGAAGAGATGAGAGGAAGAGGAGGTTGTGTGACAGCGTGGCTTTGTTGCAATCTGGTGGCAGTGGACAAGGACGAGATCATTCATCATGCACTGCAGGGCCTGCGCGGCTGTCTTCAGGGAGACCAGGAACTGACGGCCAGCAACGTGACGATTGCTGTTGTGGGCATCGACCAGCCATTCACGATTATTGAAGGCGCTGAGCTGCAGCCTTACGTACGCAAGTGGTTGCAATTTGCCAATCCCTCACGATGTTGTTGACGATGCTGGGTTACCGTTTTTCTTGTTGTTCTGTAGATTGATGCCGTAGAGGTGTCTGATGTCAAGGAGGATGATGACGGAGACGCTGTGATGGAAGAATAAACGGAAGGCCGCGTGGCAGCCTTTTAGCTCAGCGGCCGGTTCTAGACCGCGACGAGACTGCAATGAAGTTATTACCGCCGCTCTTGGTCCAGTCTGACGAGAGTATGTAGTGCCTCGTCGGTCTCAGTCGTATCCAGCTCGTAGCATGGAGGGGAGCAAGTCGCAGTAATTGCGCAGGGTAATACGCAAGCAGTTTGAAACACATGTGAATGGCGTTGACGGTCGGTCGCGTGTTGCGAGACTCGTGGTCGTGTGGTACTTACGTCCATCTCTTGATGTTGAGAACAGAAGGTCGCTCAGGTTGTTCCGTCATGTGGAAAGATGGCAGATCTCGCAGGGTAACACGGCAACGGCGTGATCATGTTTGCGTCGGCGCGAGGTTAGTACAAGCGGCGCGGTATGCCGATGTCACTGCAGCAGTTCACGACAAACGCTTCCCCACTTTCTCAGCTCTCCGCGGCAAGAAGACTCTGGCTGCAATCCAAAGACCGACTGCTACCTATTGCCTCGTCGAAGCGCCCGCTTCGTGTCGTGCATCGACATGTCCGCAGTTCAATTGATATGCGATGCGTCGATTACCGACAACACTGGACTGGAATTGCCTCTGCGTGGCAGCCCGTGCTGTGATGAACAAGTGATAAACATGAACGCAAGTGCTGCGTTTGACAACATGTCGCTCTTCTTCGCGTTCGTCGAACACAATATTTTAGCGTCGCGAGTTTGCAGAGTGTCGAGATGCCAACATCGGCAGTTTACAATCAGCTGGTGCAGTAGGTAGCATTGTACAACGACCGCTTTGCTACGCACAGGGCGATGCCATTTGGACAAGTTACGATAAAATTAGCAGCGCATAAGTCCTGCTCTCCATTTGGTTTGAGCGACTCGCTGGGGCGTATTCTATCTGACGTGTCCAAAAATGCGGACATTACCATCGTAGAGAATACGAATAAATACGACATGCAGCGACGGTCGGTATCGCGCAGATAGAGGAATCTATTGCGGCTTATAACGCACCGTACTGCACATGGCGACTCGGTCATCTTATGTTGCGCTCGAAGCACCCACAACGTGCACGCAACTCCCACTTGCTGCAACTTTCGTCTTCAATGAAAACGAACAACACAGCTTCGAGAACGAAAAACAAAAAGGTGTCCGATGGTGTGCGAGCGAGCGACTGCGTCTCCGAGGGCGCACTTAAACGACCAAACGGACGGAAGACATTGCGCAGAGAATGAAGACGAAGATATGGACGAAGGCGCGTGCACCAGTCGCTCGCTGATTGTCCCCGTCGCTGCAGGAGCAGTGATCAATAACTAAACCAAATTGCCCATTGATGTTATCTGACAGAAATGATGCGCGTCGACGCTTTCGACTACGAGTGGAGACGTCAGATTCACGCAGGTGACCAAGTGGACGCCCAGAACAGCTTTGGCAATTGGTGTCCAGCCAAAGTGCTGCAAGTCGCTGATGGGGAAGTGCTGCTGCAGTTTTTCAACATGCACGAGAGCTGGCGACAGTGGCTGCAGCTGGATTCTGGCCGCCTCGCACGTCTTGGCACGAGGGTACGATAAAGGAGAGATGTGAGGGGTACCACAGAGCTGTTCTGACGTGCTCAAGTGTATTTTGTTGTGGGGAACCGATTTGTTTGCGGTGGAAAACACGCGCAGGCGCACAGTGACAGCGTGCCGGTTCGCCAAGCCCAGCATGTGGAAGTACGTCCTGGGGGAGTCATAGCAGCTTATGGAAGGAGGCTATTGCTGTGAAAACAGTTGGAGGAAACATGCTGGTGCGCTATGCTGGACGCGACTCGAGTTATGACGAGTGGGTTCGCTTCACCCCAGCAACCGTGGCGCCTGCTGGCGACCACTTGCAATTGCGCGGGCGTGGCTGTGCGCTGCAACAGAGGAAAATGGATGTTGATGCACCAAACGTGACGCGTCGTCGTGTCATTCAAGCACAGAACCCGAGATTTGCTCACTACCGAGACTCGCTTGAGCGTACCTTGGGCTTGCGGATCTATGATATCGAAGGAGATGGCAATTGCCTGTTCCGCTCGGTGAGCCACCAGGTGTATGGTGACGATCGACATCATGCACTTGTACGTGCGGCTTGCATGGACTACATGGAGAGCGAGAAAGAGTACTTTGAGCCGTACGTAGTGGGCGACATGGCAGCATTCATGCGCTACTTGCGCCATAAGAGGTGTGATGGTGTCTGGGGCGACGACCCGGAGCTTCAGGCTTTGTGCGAGCTGTACGACCGTCCTGCTGAAGTGTTTGCTTATGATCCAATGTGTGGCTTCCGAAAGTTGCGCTGCCTTCACGAAAGCAGTTCTCTCTGTCGCAGCAGACCTCCTATTCGGTACGATTCTCGGCAACGAATGGATGCGATATCATCATTATAGCTCTTACGCGCGAGTGTACCGTTGACGCAGGCTTAGCTACTACGGAGGAGGTCACTACGATTCACTTACCGGACCCGATCATCAAGCGAGCCTACTCTGCGAGGCCCCAGGCCAGTGGGAGCAGCGGCATATCGGGTACTCGCGCCGTATCAATTCGCGCGAAACTCGAGACGATGCCACTGGTGTGGAGCAGCAGGTGCACGCTCGATCAAACCGTGAGCGCACGGAAGTGGAGCAGCTGGAACACATTCTCATGGTGCGTTCGCGATGATGCTTGTCGCGTAGCGAACTCGTCGATGGACTGACCTGGCCTCTTTGCACAGCTATCACGAAACGAGTTTGACGCCATGGATACCAGCTTAGAAGAGACACTAAAGCTGTCGCTTGCAGAGCATGGCGGTGACGCTCCGTCGGCGCAAGCGCAGGCACGCCGAGAGTTGGAAGCGATCAAAGAAGCTACTCGGGAAAGTGAAGTAGCTGCGATCCAGGCTGAGCTTTTGGCCAAGGCAAAGGCCGAGTCGGAGAAAGAGCAGATGAAGTCTGCGATTCAGGCGTCGTTAGGTGCATGTGCCTTGCCAAACGATGGCGACTTCGATGCACAAATGTCAGCTGCAATCCAGGCGTCTTTGGGGGATGCTGAACCATGCCTCGCGACGACAGATGGAAGCGGTAGTAGCTACGATGAGCAGTTGCGCCGTGCGATGGAGCTGTCAGGTCAGGAGTTTGCCCATCGACCGCAAGTGTTTGGACTGCACGACGGGGAAACAACAAACACGGATGAGATGGACGAGCTCCAGCGTGCGATCCAGGCCTCGCTGCAACAGTCCTGAACGGCGAGTACACGCACAGGCAGTTTTGACGAACGGTGAACGACGTGCAAACAGTACTTACTCGCGGGTTCATTTAATACCACACATCCCGCTATTCGGTTCATGAGTGGCAGAGCTTGCTCTCCTGCTCGTCTGCACTAACGCTTGATGCTCCGATCACACGTTATTTTCGACGTACTCGGCGATGCGCTGCTCCATGTAAATTCGGTCTTCTAGGTGACGTGGTGAGTGGCGCTCACCTGGAAAGAGTAGCAAATCATAGTGCTTCCGGGCATTGATCAGAGCCGTGATAAGTCGGGCAGTGTGGCGAAAGTGCACATTCTCATCAATCAGCCCATGAATGAGCAGTAACTTCTGCCCCTTCCGCATGTTGCCAACAGCCTCCATTACAGAGCCATTCCGATAGCCTGTCGGGTTAAGCTGCGGCGTGGACATATAGCGCTCGGTATAGCAAGTATCGTAGCCGTCCCAACTCGTCACCGGAGCCCCGGCGATAGCAAGATTGAACGTCTCAGGAGCTTTCATTAAACAGAGGGCCGCCATGTAGCCACCATAACTCCAGCCGTAAATTCCCACTCGACCCTTGATCGTCACGCCTTCATCCACTAATTTGCGAACGCCGTCCTCTTGATCTAGAATTTCTACAGTACCCATACAATGCTTAATGGCGCCCTCGAAAGCTGAGCCGCGACGAAAGCTGCCACGATTGTCAACCTTCAGTACAGCATATCCCATGTCACGGAATCGCTGTGCTCGCATGTCGGCAGTCATTGCCCACGTGCGTGCAACGCGCTGCACATGAGGTCCGCCGTATACGCTCACCATTGTAGGGTACGGGCCTTCACCGTGCACCTTCGAATCCGGTAAGTATACTGCCCCGAACAGCGTTTCCTTACCATCGCGGGTAGGAACTGATATGATCTTGGGAATACAGAGTTTGCCTTGGGCTTGAAGCATCGCCACACGTAAATCCTCCTGCTCAGTAGTCAAGGGATATGCCGAGTCAAGAACTACTTGGAATAGCGCGGTAAGTTCCGCTGATGGTGCTGCTGCTACTTCCGCAGCTGAACTCGGATCTGCAGGTGTGAGCGGCTTTACAGCTCGGATATGGGCTTCTGAAGGCACCGTGCACACTAGCGCACGCGGTGGTGTCGTTAAATTGCTGTACACATCCACAAACATGCGGCAACTGCTATCCATGACGATGTTGTGCATGCCTGCTGGACCAGTCAATCTGATGGGATGAGGCGGTGGGTCACTGACCGGGGAGAGCAATGTCACGTACAGATGACGCTCCAGTGGAGAGTCCGCTGTTCCACAAAAGTATACGCGTCCCTGTGTCAAGTCGATACCTTCGACCGATTCCACATTCCATTCGCCACTTGTTACAGCGCCCAAGAGCCATGCACTGCGTGCCCCAGCCATGTACTCGTACAAGTACAGGTGCATGAAGCCACTGCGCTCGGACGCCCACAAGAAACGAAACGCGTTCTTGCTCTCCACTTCAATATTGCGGTACAAGTAACTAGCATTCACCCACACGGGGTTCGTCTCCTCAAGCAGCGTTGTGGCCTGTCCAGTTTCCACATCAAATCTCAAAAACGACACCTCCGTCTGCAGGCGATTCAACTTCTGCACCCCGAGCGACATATCCGGCAGCCAATTCACTCGAGAAATGTAAAAGTCCGTGTCCAGCGACGCAAAGTCCATCCACACGGGCGTCGGCACCTCACCGTCCAGCGCTTGTCGGCCAGCCCCGCCACTCTGCATCCCGCCACTCTCCTCTTGCTCGGCCTCTCGTGGCAATTTGATCACGCCCAGCCGCCTCGTGGGGTTGCGCCCGCCTGCAAAAGGGTACCGGTGGTCTTCCTGCACGTCGTCTCCCGTCGGCGTCGCACTGCCCGAGTGCATGATGCGGTACTTGGGGATCGCGCGCTCGTCCACCTGTTCGAATGCGAGCTGCGCGCTGTCGGGCGACCACCAAAAGCCGCGAAACCGGCCGAGTTCCTCCTGCGTCAGGAAACACGCGAGGCCGTTCGACAGGCCGTCGACTGCTCGCGCGCCGCGCGTCACTTGCACAGCCCGTGGCGGCGGTCCTGACGGCTGTCCCGTCGGCGTCGGGACCACGTAGAGCTCCTTGTCCTGCACGAACGCCACGTAGCGGCCGTCGGGCGACACCTGCGGGTCCAAAATCGCGCCTCCTGCTGCACCGGTCCTGGCTTTGTCCACGAGCAACGTAAGCGGCGCCCCCACGTGCGCTTGGTAATAGAGATCGCCTTGTAGAGGGTACAGCAGCCCCGCTGCCCGTCCGCGCGTGGGCGTCCACGCGTACGACGTGATGCCGAGGCCCATCTGCCGCTGCCGCTCGCGCCGGAGCGTCTCGTCGCGGCTGACGGCGGCGCTGTCGGGCGGCGCAGCGGCTACCCGTGAGACGGCGCGCGTGGCCACGTCGAGCGCGTACAGCTGCCGCGCGAGGCGGCCGCGGGGCGCGTTGGGCGCGTGGAGAAAGGCAATGCAGCGGTTGTCGGGGCTGAAGCTGACGCTGGTGGGGGGCGCTGAGACCGGGCGCGGGCATCGCAGCCACGTCGTCGAGTGCGAGGAGCGCGCGCGCGGCCATGTTGGAGGTGCGGGTGGGTGGGGCGAGTGAAGGGGACAGGCCGGCGCCGGACGGAGGCGGGGCGGGATAGTGAACGCGAGTGAAGGGGGTGGGGTGGGACACATTGGGTTGGACAAGGATAAATGATGTGACGACTGAAGGTTGGGTTTGAAACGGTCGAGCGGGCGGGGAGAGGAGGGGGAGGGGGGACGTGCGGTCGGGTGGGTTTAAACGCAGTGTTGAGTTCGTGGTTTGTTTTTCGAGGGGTTTTGGATAGGGTGAAGAGGAGCGCTGTTTCCAAAAGTTGGATTACAAGCTGTGGAATGGGTCAGCTGATGAGTTCTTAGAGTGACGTGGACGACACGTAATCTCATCCGTATGAAGACATGAGTTGTCCGTTCGTTGGCCCCTCGGTACACTTGCTAGTCGTCGGTCGTTTCTTTGCTTATTTTGCAAGCAATAGGGACGCTGATGTGTGCACAACAGTTGTCTATGCGACGAGCAACCTAGCGTGAAAGCGTAGTGCCTGCTGCACGCACATCTTTACTGTGAATCTTACGACATCTATCACCAAGGCGGTGTCGTTGCATGGACATAGGATGAGACAGCGCAGTGTCGCGCTGCCGCTTATAAATGAGGTCCAAGAGCGGTATGAAAGGCCCTATGGCAGCATGAGACGACGAATAACGAGAGAAAACAACATCAGCCATGATGCTAGAGAGCTGATGTAAACTTTTCTGTGCTACTGCGGGTCGAAAGCTTTTAGTTTGAGACAGGCTCAAACTGATTCTACTACGTATTGTCCAGCGTAACGACATAAAATCGGAGGTCCAGAGTGTAACGGGGTTACACGTCGGCTGGTAGCCGACGATAGGTGTGGTGCACACACGAGAGGGGGGTACCCTATAAGGTAATATTAGAACACAGTGAGCGTATCAATTGTTGAAGACTGGTGTCTGTCATCAATTGATTGCAAGATATTTTAAGAGGTTATTTAGGGCAGGTTAAATACGTTGTTCTAAGGTGTTCTTTTAGGTTAAATGAAGAAATAAAATTCAGTTTCCATTTTGATCAACATAAGACACGTGCCTTACGAGGCGTCTTGATCGGAAGAGCTAGCAACGCCTGTAAAGGTAGCTGCTATTGAGCACTCTGTGCTGTGATTCATTTGAATCGTTTGGTCCCTCTGGAACGGGGACCGTAAGCTCTCTGAGCTGTTGACTCTCTGAGTCGGGTTCTCTGAACCACCCTTTAAGCTCTCTGAGCTGTTGACTCTCTGAGTCGGGTACTCTGAACCACCCTTTAAGCTCTCTGAGCTGTTGAATCTCTGATTCGGGTTCTTTGAACCAAAGTTGCTCGTAAGAGCGTTAAGTCTTCCTCTGACTTAAGGAGCTGTGTAGCTCCGCTACACAGAGCCCATGGACATCTGTTCCGTGGAGAGCGAAAGTACTTGCTCTCCAGGGTGCAAACGTTAGCAGAAATGTAATAGTTGTCAAAAGACAGAGCACTAAGCCTATGAGTGTACTGCCCCTAATGAAGGATTATGTAAACAAGTAGGTAAAGACCCTATGTCGGCCAAGAAAGCCCCGAAACGGTGTCCGATGTTCTTGTTGAATCGCAACAAGTGGGCGAACCTCCAGAAAACGGCCGGAGTCAGTGAGGCCGGAGTGCCCTGCTGGTTCAGCAACGTCATGAGAATCTGCATTATTCTCGACGTAAGTTGCTCCCCACACACTATCGTTTTGTGTTACCGCCGCTGATAATAAGATTTCTCTCATCACCTTAGATATCGAAGTGACAAATGACTTGCCACTTCGATGTTAACTCATTTTCGACGCTCAAACCTAAACGCTTTAACCGAGATCTGCGTTGTTGTAATGTCAATCGGATCTGCGCACTAGTCGCAGAAGACGAGTGAGTCACCGAAATAGGACCGGCGGTAATATGTACTGAGAATGAAGGAGTTCTCAGTACTTCATCGATGGAAGAATGTGTCTTTAGTGATAAGACTCGGCTTGAAGGATACACGTCTCTTCTAGGGGTCACGCATAAAAACTTTATGCAAGAATCTGATCGAATTCAAGGATGTAATCCCTGCATCCGTACCGTGAGACTTGCCAAAGGATAAATGCACTCGTCATGAAACATGAAACCCGTTCTAAAGTACTGTGTTATAAAGCAGTGTCCACTGCCTTGTGAACAAGTATGAGCGATCGACAAATTAGTTCCCGGGTGCTTAGCTGCAAGCAATGTGAGGAAATCAACTACCCGACCTAGCTTTCAACCTTCTGTGTGCATGATGCCACCATGAGTATGACAAAACGTGCATGTATTCAACAAGGTGAAAGCTGCAACTACGCCGGCTCAAACCCCGATACCGAGGAAAGGCGTTATTAGCAATGGC